TTCCCACTGTCCCGGTGGGATGGATCCAGCCGCGATTTTCCCCGGTGGGATGGATCCAGCCGCGATTTTCCCCGCTGTCCCGGTGGGATGGATCCAGCCGCGATTTTCCCGCTGTCCCGGTGGGATGGATCCAGACGCGATTTTCCCTGGTGGGATGGATCCAGCCGCGATTTTCCCCGGTGGGATGGATCCAGCCGCGATTTTCCCCGGTGGGATGGATCCAGCCGCGATTTTCCCCGGTGGGATGGATCCAGNTTTTCCCCGCTGTATCTTCGCGTGCGGCAAACAGGTGGCGATGTTGTACTCCCGGATTTCAGCTTTCCGCCCCCAAAAAAAACCGCCGGCTGCTGTCCGAGAGATGCTCGGGAGCGTCCCGTGTTCCTCCCGGGAATCCTTTGGGTTCCGCGGTGATTCCCATCTTTCTCCTGCGCTTTAATCGAGATAAACTCCAGCCAAAGCCTCTCCTTCCATCCCCTCTCCATCAAGGCACGGGATAAAACTCCATCCCTTGAAAATRAGCTTTTCCCTTGAAAAGTCGGAAATTGTTGGAGTTGTTGGAAGCGAAGAGGAAAGTCAGGATGTTTTGGGAAAGCTGCCTCATCCCATGGGTGCAGAACAAAGATGAGACACACGAGGATGTCAAGCAGAGGGAAAATTCCCGCAGGGAAGCAGAGATCCCTTCTGTCAGATGATTTCCCCCACGGAGCTGCACTTCCCGGGCTGGAATTTTGCAGGATCCGTGTGCTCTGAGGCTCTGGAGCATTTGCGATGTGCTCGGGATGGAGAAATTCCTCAGCCCGGGATTGGGATCCCCCCTGGAGAAATTCCTCACCCTGGAGGGAGMGCCTGTGATGGGCTGGGTGCTCCCAGGAATTGCTCCAGGCATGATCCCAAAGGGTGCAGGGCCATGGTGACGCCTTAGGATTTTTGGTTTCTCTATTTTCCTGCGTCTGTATCTTGTATTTCTCCAGTACAGCACTAAAAACAACCTTCTCTCATCTTTAGACAAAACAATTCCTCTCTGAGCCTGAATCCAAGGACACCTCGCTGCCTCAGAGCCCCAAAATATGCAAACATCAGTGAGTTTAGGGTGATCTGAAAAGATCATTGGAGAATTAACACCCAATATGTYAATAAGGCAGAACTTACAAAAGGTGAAGATCTCGTGACCYGGKGTCCATTTTTGGGTGCAGCCTCAGGAGGAGGCTTTGTCTGCCCCAATGTACCWGGGGGSCTGTTAGGCCTGGATTAAAGTTGTCACCTGCAGCACAGGGACAGCTTTTGGTGGCCACTTCTGCCCTCGAATTCCCTGTGGAGCACCCAGAGTGGCACCAGCCGAAATTCCCATAAAACCAGAAGCTCCCAAGGCTTTGCATCCCCTCATCCTAATTTTCCAGAGCAGCAATTCTGAAGGCTCTGGGGTCGTTCTCTGTGCTGGAATCATTCTCTGTGCTGGAATCATTCTCTGTTCTGGAATTTGTCTCCTGCTCTTCCAAGGAAAAGGTGGGAGCTGTGTGAGCTCCTCCAAGCCTTGCCCAGGCTCCAGAGCATTTGGGCAGTGCCACGTCCTGCAGGGATGTCACTTGGGAGTGTCACCACATTGCCACCATGGGGGTGATGCCAGAGGGTGCCAGGGGCACCTGGATAAAGTTTTCTATCCTCTTTATCACAGTGGCCTGCCCTGGAAAATCTGGGAGGTGGCAGCCACGAATTCAGGGATCTTCAGCAGCTCTTGGGAAGGTGAGGGAGCATCATGGTGGGAATTCCCAGGCAGTGGAAGCAATTCCCAGGGTGAGGGGGAACGGGCTCTGCAGCAGGATGGGTTTAAAAATGTTGGGAAAAGCGGCTGCACTCCCTGCTCCGAGYGATTTCCTGACTTTCTGCCGCTTTTCCTGCAGGGAGCTGCACTCTGCTGGCTCAGCCACCGAAATGCTCATTGTGGAGAGGGCACAGCCACAGCACTGCMGGAGCCAGGGGCTCCCCACCACCCCAAATCCCATCCTTTTTCCACAGTCGGGATCACTGGGAAGTCAGGGATGGCAGCACAGCCCCGGGATGGTGAAGCAGCCCTGGCACAGAAACCCTTCCTTGCAGCAGGATGTTCTGTCCCCAAATCCTGGGACATTCTGGGAATGTCCCTGCAGATGGGCTCGGACAGATGGACACACCTGCCCAYGGACAGTTATCCATGTGGAGCGAGGGAATGAGGCTCAGAGCTAAAATAAATCCACCTGCACATGGAAAACACCTTTTCAGGGCCATCCTGGGAGACCTGCCTTGGGAATGGTGCCCTGGATAAAATCCCTGATTTTTCAGAGTTTTGGGTAAATGTCAGTTTTATGCTCCCTTGGTATTCCCTGGAATGGGAATCAGCAGCAGGATGGAGCCCTGGGAACACTCGGCCAGGGGGGATTTCTGGGGAACAGAATCCCAAAATGGTTTGGGATTGAAGGAACCTAAAAACCCATCCCATCCCATCCCTGCCATGGCAGGAACACCTTCCACTCTCCCAGGGTGCTCCAATCTGGCCTGGGACACTTCCAGGGATGGGGCAGCCGCAGCTTCTCTGGAAAACCTGAGCCAGGACCTGGCCAAAATCACCCCTGAGCAATCCATATCTCAAGGATCGGCATTAAAAACCTCCGGGGCAYTTCCCTTCCTTCCACACCTGCATTTCCCTCTTGGCTGGTGCCCAGCCAGAGCCTGCTGACCTCCAACGAGCCCAAAATTCCCAGGAAAAGAGCAAACAGCACCGGGAACAACCCAAAAAACCCAGCCCCAATGACGAGAACGTGCAAATCCCAGCTCCTCGCTCCCGGGGCAGSCAGAGAAACGTGCAAGCATCCTAAATAGCGCAGGATCTGCAGTCCCCGAGCACGGCCGTGGGGATGCTGTCATCGAGGAAGGCGCGGGGAGCAGCAGCAGCCCCTCCTGACTCAGCCGTTCCCGTTTCCATCATCCCCAGGATTTTATTTGCCTGAGGTTGTTGGTAACTGTTGCTTAGTAGTGGCCACGGGCCCTTTTAACACCTTTGTGCTCCAAGAGCCGCCGGCCAAGCGGGACGGGGAACGTTCCAGGAGGGTCTGAATCCTGCGGGATCCACGGGAAGATCGCTCTGGATGCTTTTTGGGTCTGGGAGTGCTGCAATCCCCCCAAAATCTGCAGGAAAAATCCCGGCAGCGCAAGGAGTGATTCGCACGAGGTTGTGGAGCAGCTCCGGCTGAAACGGGCTCGGGACACGCACAAAACCCCTGTGCTGGCGGGGAACAGGGAAWTCCAGCATTCCAGGTTTGGAAATGCGCTCCCASCCCGCAGCCAGGCTCTGCCACACACAGCTGGCCACAGCTGGATCCCTGCTGAGTGCGGGGATCAAACCCTACTCAGGCAAAAAAAACAGGAATTGGGAATTCCAGCTCATTCCTTGGGCAGCTCGGAACAGCCGGGATCAGGCGGGACACGCGAGGGGAATCCCTGATTTGGGGAGTGCCAGGATCACCCCGAAAGCTGGGAGAGGGAGATTGGGCTGGGAAGGCGGCACAGAGAGGGGACACAACACCAAAGATCAGGGAACCCCAGAATCCCGGAATGATTTGGGGTGGAAGGGACACTGAAGATAATCCGATCCCACTTGGACACTTTCCACTGTCCCAGCGTGCTCCAAGCCCAGTCCAAACTGGCCCTGGGTGTTTTTAGGGWTCCAGGAGCATCCACAGSTGCTCCGGGCACCCCACCAGGGCCTCCCCACCCTCACAGGGAAGAATTTCCTCCCAAAATCCCGATGTCACCCTGGGGCGCAGCCCACGTGGCCCAAGGTGCATTTCCAGGAACACACAGAGCTCCTGAAAAGGGACAAACTCCCCGGGAAGGGGCGCGCTGAGCTCTTTTCCAGGGATGGGGTTTGCTCTGGGACAGGGAGGTTGCTTTTAGGGCAACTCTCRCTTTTTGGGATTTGAGGGAACAGAGCTTCCACACACAGGATTCAAAATGCCATCGTGTCACCAGCCCTGCTGTGAGTCCCTGGGCCTGAAAATCCAGTAAACCCTGATTTCTGTGAACCCCATATGGATAAAATCAGGAGATTTTGTTTTTTTTACGGATGGCTTTTTGCAGCGAGCAGCGGGGTATTCCAGCAGATCTCCCAAACCCAGAGCTGGGTGTCTGCCTGCCTCGAAACCCTGACAGTGCCACAAGCTCGGGCACTTCTCCGAAAGGAAAATTAAAATTCCATGAGGCAGAAAACACAAAATTTGGGAACAGCCAGACCGAGGCTCTGCACAGCGCTAAACCCGAGGCAGCCGCTGAGTCACCGGCTCGTTTGGAACCGCTGGAAAATGATCCGGGCTCAGTTTATCCCAAAAATAATCCTGGAATCATCATCCCGAACGGGTTAACCTCGGCTGTTTAGGAGAGAAACCTCTTCTGCATATTTTTCTTGCGTTTCCCATAAACAAAAATGCAATGTTTTCGTGGGGYGATTTCTTAGAAATTAAACAGCCCTGGCGACTCATCAGCTCCAGCGTGGATTTGGCCACGCTGCACTTACCGGGTTTAGCCCTCAGGCTCAACTAAAAMTTTGCTCTGTCCTAAGTTACTCAATTATCCCAAAAATCCGATTTTTACGGCAAAGGTAGGACCTGTGAGGCACCGACCCCGAGAGAAAGGATCCAACCCTCCCGCATTTTCTYTGCAAAGTTTCACAGGAGGAGAAAGATATTTTTTAACGCTCCTGGAACTGCCCACGGATTTTTCCGAGAGGGATTAGGAAGCGGCTGCTGCTGCTCCGTACCTGGACACCTCTGGACTCACCGGGACATCTCCATCCCCCATCCCCAAACTTCCCAAACTTTTCCAGCTGCAGAGCCAGCACCGTTTGCTTCCAGAAACTCCCCCCTTTCCCCACCCCCGGCGGTGCCACAGCCCCAGAGCCGGCGATAAAGAGAAACCCAAAAAAAAAGGGATTTTCCAGGAGAAAAAGGGATTTTCCAAGAGAATGCCCTCACCTTTCCCGCAGAGCCGGGAGCTGCCCTTTGCTGCCTTTCCAAGCCGCTCTCACTCACTCCACTATCTCCAGTCTTCCCGCAGCTCCCGCCGAGCTGGAAATATCATTAAGCTCCAGTGAGGCGAAAAAAAAAAAGAAAAAAAGAAAAAAAAATCCCAAGGAAAGCGTGGCAATATCCAAAGGGAGGGGAGCGAAGGCGGCCGAGCCGCGGGTCCCGGCTCCACCTGCGCCGGGCTCCGGGAATCCTCCGGCGTGGAGCAGGCATGGATACTCCTCTGCTGTGCGCGGATGACTTCACTTCATTAGCATGCTCCTGAGAGTTCTCCCCGACTGTCTTTTTTCCTGACTTTAAGGCTCTGCTAATCAAAATCCTGGAGTGGTTTAACTATTTCCTGGCGCCGGGGCTCCGGCGAGAGGGGAATCCGCGGCTCAGCCTCCGTCCCACGGCGGTTCCTGAGCCCGGCATCTGCAGCTCATGGCTCCCAGCACGTCCCGGCTTTATCTCCTCGGCCAGGGAAAAACCTCCGAGCTCTGCGGGACCCTGCAGCGCCGGCGGAGGGACAGGGAAAGAGGGAATGGGATGGGATGGGGATGGGATGGGATTCCCACCCCGAAATGGTTGTGTTTGGGGCGAGGCGCTGATTAATTGGTGACATGGCACAGAATGTCCCTCCAGGCCATTCGGGGGGATGTGATTCCAGCTGGATGGGGCTTGGAACAACCTGGGATAGCGGGATGTGTCCCTGCGCAGGGCTCAGGGAATGGGATGAGCTGAAAATCCCTTCCAACCAGACCCATCCCACGATTCCGGGACCCCGCCGGGTCCCAGGTGATGCCACCCTGCAGAAATGCCACCCCAGCCTTCTCCCTGCTCCTCGAGGATTTTGGGAGCAGAGCTGCCCTAAAGTGCCTGAAGTGTCCTTCAGAGAGAAACCCACTCCTGGCTGAGAGAAGGGGAAAGAAAACGGGGAAAAATAAAGGAACTCCTGTACGAGAACACCCGGAGCGTGGGACAGGGACAGGGACAAGGACACTTCCCAGACAGACACCTGCCTGTCCTTCGGGGTTTTACCGGGGTCCAAATCCATGTCAGGTTTTACTGGCACGAGAAAATTGGGAGTGGATTTTAGAACAGTGGGATGAGAAAGAAAATTAAAGGAGGGACTCGCTCCCATGGCCATGGGGGAACAAATGGACACGAGTGACCATCAGTGTGTCCATGGATGTGAGTGACCATCAATGTATCCATGGACATGTGTGACCAGCTCCTCTCAGAGCAGAGCAGCACGAGCTCCCAGTGTGGATTTGACACAGGAGAATCCCAGAATTGGAGCAGGAGAATCCCAGAACCATTCCAGCTGGGAAAGACCTCCCAGATCACCCAGCCCTGCCATTTTCCAGCACCAAATCCCACGTGGAATCCAGGGCTCTCTTCAGGATCAGCTCCCACCCAGCCAGAGTTGGTTGAAACCCTCACCAGGACCCGCTGCAGAGGATTGGGGAATTGGGAGAGGGAGATTTCCAAACTCATCCTGCTGATGGGCTGGAAAGACCAAGGAGTCTCCAGCCCCCATCCTGCAGTGACCCCTGAGAATGTGGGGCTGTTTATAGGGGCAGGCAACACCAAACAAACCCAAACCCATTCCCTGCTCCAGCCGCTCCCTGCCGAACTCCCCGGCACTTTCTGGGGTTGGGGAGGAACCTCTCGTGGTTGTGACTGTGTCCAGCACCCCCTGCATGAACCACAACATCTGGGCACTGTTTATCCCTGTCCTCCAGGGTGTTTTTTTGGGATTTAAGCTGTTTCAGAGCCCTAAAGTCCGTGTTTACTTTGCTGATGAGTAAAGCCCGGCGCTGGTGTGGGGGAGCCTCCGGAGCTGCTGTGAGGTTAAGGACGTGATTAAAGGGCTAAAAATGGATTTTCTTTCTTTCTCTTTTCTCTCTCGTTATTTTTTTTTTTTCTTTTTTTTTCTTTCTTTCTCTTTTCTCTCTCGTTATTTTTTTTTTTTTAAATTTTTTTTAAAGCAAAGCCACAACACAGCAAAAATCCCATCCCTGGCACTGGTACATGAGGGCAACCCTGCAACCATCACCACCCCCTCCTTGAGCAGAGCACTGGAGAGAAAAATGGACTTTGGCCCTAAATCTTGGACTTTTTTGGCCCTAAAAAGCCCTGACCCAGACCTGAAACCTGYCACCATTGCAGGTGGGAGCATCCCATCAGGAACCAGGCTGGCCCTCTCCCTCACAGCCCCAAATCCCTTAMACATCCCCCTTTTCCAGCGGTTCTGCTGAGATCCTGACATCAGATCATCACCGTGACCTTGACTCCTCCCCTGGGTTTGGGTGATCTCCCTTTGGAATCACTTATCCCCAAAATTCCTTCTCCCAAAATCAAGAATCAGTGATTTAAAATGACAAACCCCGAGAAACGCTGCTTAAACCAAAGGTGTCAGACCAGAAATGTTCCTTCCAACCCAAACTGTTCTCAGATTTCTTGGATAAAGAATCCATGCACGGATCCAGCTCACACCTGTAGCGTAACCACACAAAAAAAAAAAAGCCAGTCTGGGAATTTAAAGGTAATTTAAAGCTATTCCTGACTTATTCCATGCATGGACACCAACCTCACCGAGGTGATGCCCCCACGAATTCCCAGATGGGGCAGGATGCGATGGGAGGGTGCTCTCCATCCATCCATCCATCCCTGATCCATCCATCCATCCATCCATCCATCCATCCATCCATCCATCCATCCATCCATCCATCCATCCCT